GTTCTTAAGATGGTACAGGATGATGGGATCACTGACATGAGTGTCATACAAAGGCATTACCTAAATAATGAATGTTTTACAACTAAAGAACTTTTATGAGTAAAAGAGACTCCTAGAGAAGTACATTCATACGTGATCAGACAATTAATGAGCACATATAAAATAAATAAGAAGTTGCATGGAAATAATTTTCAAATGAAGTACCGATCAAAGAAGGATCGAATACAAACCATCTCGATCCTTGCTAGAAATTGGAATAGGAACAGAGGAGAATATGCATTTCTAAAGGATATCGTCACTTCAGAACAATCACTAAAGATTAATAACATGGTGAACATTACTATGAATCACCTAGAATATTTTTACTTGTGTGTTTCTGTTCCTCTAGACATTATCGATAACCAAGATAATGTTTGGGGAAAGGTAATCTCACTCGATCCAGGTGTTTGCACGTTTATGACTGGTTACGATCCTAACAGTCAATTAATCGAGTGGGGTAATGGTAATCTCAACAAAATATTCAAACTATCCAAGAAATATAACAAATTACAGAGCGATAAGGATTTTGTATTAGGGTGAACAAACAAGAGAAAAAGATTTAGATTAAAAAAAAATATTGCGAGTTATACAACAAATCCATCATTTAATAGATGAGTGCTATCATCAGCTCACGAGATGGTTATGCACGAATTACGAGATCATCTTGTTACCTAAATTCGAATCTTCGAGAATAGTTTTAAAGAATAAGAGAAAGATTCGGTCGAAGAGTTTGGCCAAATTACAGTTGCCGCACGGAGCGGTAGACCACAAAAATTAGATGATAGAGCTACTCGAAGGTAATTAATATTATTAAAGATGATCGACAACAAGCAGTTGATGAAATTACCAAAAAATTCAATACTGCTATGACTGTAACTGTTAATTCCAGTATTATATGACGTACTCTTCATGAATATGGATTTTATGGTCGGGCTGGGGTTAGAAAATCTTTTGTATCTGAGAAAAACCATCAAAAATGATTAAAATGGTGCTTAGAAAGAAAAGATTAGATTAGTAATGAGAATTAGTAATTTGGAGTGATGAATCAAGATATTTAATATTTTGAAATGATTTCCAGCAATGGGTTTGGTGCCAATCACATGAAAAATATAATGTTAATTGTCTTCTTTCTAGTATAAAATCAGGCAATTAGGAAGTAATGGTATGGGAATGTTTTACTCAAAATTCACTTGGATCATTAATTGAAGTTAAAGATAGAATAAATAATGAAACAAAATCTTTTGCCATTTCTAAATGATTTGTCAGATAATTCTATTTATCTTTTTCAAAATAATAATATGTCAATTCACAAATATGGTGTAGCTAGTCAATGAAAAGAGGAAAATTTAATCACTTCACTTTTATAACCTGTTCAGAGTTCTGATTTAAATCCAATTGAGTATTTGTAGAATGTTTTGAAAAGATGAATTCATGTATGTTTAACTCACTTCAAAAAATCTAGAAGAATTGATAGATATACTTGTGAAGAAATAAAAAATGATTGAATCAGAAATTTGATTAAAAGTATGTCAAGAAGAGTACAAGCTATAATTAATGTTAATGGATATACTTTTACTGAATAAAATGATATATTTTTTATTATAATATATTTATAAAGAGATCAAGTAATATAAAATTAAAGTATCATAAATTTTATGATCTATATTACTAATCATTTTCCAATTACAGACTTTTGATTACTGAGTATATAAACTTTGAAATAATAAAACAGAAGATTATTTGCAAAATATATCATATCATAAAAATATTTAAAGTCTAAGTTTACTCAATAAGATCTAATTCTCAAAGATACTCAAGAATAATTATATTGTAATCAATTACTTATTTGTATAGCGTAATAAACGTGGTATAGCCATAGCACATGACACAGTAATCACTGATCATTACTAAATCAGATGAATAAGTAATTTATATTAATTAATCTTATTTATAATTAACTCTATTTTTAATTTATATTAT